GGTTACTTTGTTCACTGCTGATGCAACCACCACCATCAGATCATTTGTGATCTGATGGCTGGGAAGCACTCTGCCGTGATTTTCGGTGGGAGGTCTCTGTTTCTTTTTTTTGTTTTTGCGTTTCTCCTGTTTTCTCAGCCCAGAAATTCGTAATGAACCTGTCGGGCCGCTGCCACTCAGTGTCGCACTGGATCGGCCACACTCCTATCCGACTGCTAATGGGACCTCGCCCCTGGACTCCATACATCTGAGGAAGTCCTACCAGCAGTGCGGTATCTCCTCCGATCGTTCGTCTGCTTTCTCCTTTACCTTCGCGGACTGTGTCTCTGTTTTTTTTTGTTTTTTTTTTTTCCGGAACTGTCTCACTGTTTGAATAGACATGAATAGCGCAAGGGCGAAGAGGCACTTACCTTTTTCTATTTATAATTTTTTGGCCAAAAAAAAAAAAATCGGTAGCAAAAATTTTAAAAAATGCAACAGTGAATAAATAAATAAATAAAAATCATTGATTGCAAAGATCGACGACCAAAAACGAAATATCGACCGCGATAATTGTAGCGGCAGCTTTGAGCGGGACATTTGATTGGTCTTTTGTTTTTCAAAAAAAGAGCCAACGGGCCTAGCTCAGGCGGTAAGGCACATAAATCGCATTCAGGAGGTCCGTGGCTCAATCCCATCTACACGAACTCCCTTCCCATACTTGGTACCCACTAGCAAAAAGGATCGGATCGAGCTCCTGAATCTGGATGTGTTTTAGGCAGAGATGCAGAAAAGCAGTTCAACCTCGATTTCCTGCACCGCTACACAGACACGTCCAGATTCAGACATTCGATCCGATCCTCTTTGCTAGTGGGACCACGCCGAAGGAGGACCTTGGCCAATAGTGTTGGGTGCTAGGCAACAACGATATTGCCCTTCTTGCCCTTCCAGATTTCTCGTTTGGCGGAGCGAGTTTTTTTTCGGTTGAATTCGGAGAACCTAAAAAATCCGGATGTTATAGCTTGGTGTAAACGGCACTGGGAGGACTGGGACTAGAAACACATTGGTTTGAGAGGGAAGAGGACTGGGTCCAGACTGGCTTCAGAATAGTCACTCGAGCGCTGGACGTTTTCTCAAGAATCTTAGCCGAAGGGAGGAAAGAGGAGGAGGAAGAATGCCGGAGAATGGTCGAAGTGGCAGATGCTCGGATAGGGAAAGATCCCTATACCCACATCTATTGGGAGCGGAGGAGAGATACGTGGATGGCTAAGTGCGAGCTTTTGCAGATCGAGCAACAGGAAACCTGGGCACGAAGAGCAAGAGAGAAGGGCATGTCACAGACAGATAGAATGACCAGAGCAACCTTCCGCAGATTGTGTCCGGCAAGATCTCATGGGGTTATAAGGGCTTTGAAACACCCTTTTAATGCCCATGCGGACCTTGCAGAGGACACGGTAACGATGGCAGAGTACGCCAGGATCTACTATGGTGATATCCTCACCTCAAGGAGACACCCGGCCGAATCGTTATCAGATTTGCATCAGGAAGCAGATCTCTGGCAATACACGGACAAGGCTTTGCTCCCGCATCAGCGCATGGCACTGGACAGGCCGCTGACTCCGAAAGAACTGAAACAGGCGATGCTCAGCATGGCAAAAGGCAAGGCGCCAGGAGATGACGGTCTGCCAATTGAATTCTTCATCGCAATGTGGGATCAGGTGGGCGCCATTCTGTTGAAGCTAATCAACAATGTCCTAGAAGGTGGTACGCTGACGGACGACATGTGTAGGGGAGTGATCACACTCCTCTACAAAAAGGGAGACAAACAAAATGTCCGTAACTGGCGCCCAATCTCCTTGCTCAATGTGGCATACAAGATCTTGGCAAAGGTGTTGGCAAGGAGACTGGCGCCCATCTTACCAGCCTTAGTCGGAACGGATCAGGGAGCTTTTGTTAAAGGTAGATCAATAGCCGAGAACATCCTGGTGGCGATGGGAGCACTGGAGATCATTGGAAGAGAGAGAAGACAAGTTATGGTGGCCATGCTAGACCTAGAAAAGGCTTATGACCGGGTCAATTGGTCCTTTGTTTTGGCCCCCTTGGAACACATGAACTTCGGCACAGGGTTCAGAAAATGGGTCGAAGCAATGTACTGCTCATCCACTGCTACAGTGCTAGTCAACGGCAAAAGATTCCAAGAATTTTCGCTTTCCCGTTCGCTCAAACAAGGCTGTCCGCTTGCACCACTGTTGTTCGTGACCCAAATGGAGATCCTGCTGAACGCACTGAGAACATCACCACGAATCAGGGGTCTGAAACTACAGGAAGACGGGGAAGTACGTACAGGGGCCATAGCTGATGACTTACTGCTGATCACGGAGGCTACTCCAGAATCCACACAGGCTGCCAATGAACTGTTGGACCAATATGAAGAGCTATTAGAGGCCAAGGTAAACTGGGATAAGTCAGCCTACTTCCTCCCCCAAGACTTCGACCTTCCAGACGACTGGTCAATGAAGCGGATCATGGACGCGGATGCTGAACGTTATTTGGGGGTGCAGGTTTCGCTCACAGATAGTCGCCCCACGCAAGACGCTGTGTTGGTGAGCAAGGTGGAGGCCTCTGGCAGAAAAAGCAGAGCAGCTCTTGGTTTATCCTTAATGGGAAGAGCTCTGGTCATAACCTCCTCGATGTTCGCGTTACTATGGCATGTGGCAATGGTCATCGTAATATCAAATCCCACCATCCAGAAAGTCGAATCCGTGGCGGCTCGGTATCTCTAGAAGCCAGATGCAGAAGACCAGAACGGTTTCATCTCTAAGGTGGCATGGGACAAAGTGGCCAGGCCAAGAGCGCAGGGAGGTTTGGGGGTTATTGACCCAGGAAGACAGAACCTGGCCTTGATTGGGAAATGGGTCCAGAAGGTGGCTATGCAGGCAGAGTCCCGAGCTTGGCTGGTCATAATAGAGTACATATTGCAGAAGTACTTCAAACTAAACAGGGTCAGCGATGTTTGGGTCTGCTTACAATCGCAGACATTCTTGAGCCGCCGCCCAAGATCTGCATTGGACCGGGCCTAGTGGATAGCTTGGAGAAAGCTCCGCCCCCGGGACAAACTGACACCTACATCCAGAGAGGAGGTCCTTACACAGCCCCTGTTTGACAATCCGATGATCTTACAACAGGACGGGTTGTGGTTCTCTGCGGCTAATCAAACAGGTTCCTTCGGCAGGACTTGGATCGAGAAAGGAATCTCCCGCATAAGCGACATTTGGTCAGAAGAAGAAGCCGGTTGGGCAGAGCACAGCTAGTGGAAGAGAAACTAGGAAGATTAATAGAGGCCATACCGCACGAGTGGGTCCAAATGTTGTTAGAAAGAAATCAGAGAAGAGAAGGTATGTGGGTGAGGGAGGGGATGAGCTCAGAGGAGGAAGCACCAATCTACAGACTAGAGTCGAGACTAGAGGAAGAGGAGTGGCAAGCGTCTCAGTGGGAACTGGCGACCCCACCAGCAAGAGAGGGGAACCTGGAGAAGAAGAGGGACAACATAATTGGTCCAGAAAGTGCGTTGGTGGCAATCAGAGTGGTTCCAAAGTGGAAAGCAACGGTAGGAGAGGATGGACGTTAACTCAGGGCGGGAGACCGATAACAGAGCTGAGGTTGGATCCAGGTACGATAGTATGGAACGTAAGGTCCCCTGGAAACTCTTCACTGGCCAACTACAGCACGGAAATGGGACGAGTCATTCTCAGCTCGAACCACATCTACCTACCGGAGATCTGTGAGAGAAATGCCAGAACGCTGAACCTGGCACACCCGTCATCCCACAGACAGATGACACAGCTGCCGACACAGCCAAGCCTGAAGATGTTCGGCCTTTTCTGGTTGCTATCGCACTCAACAATTCCTGTAGCTGCCTGGTTGGCGGACAGGGGTATGGACATCACTAGAACATGTCGTTGTTGTGGAAACAGAAAAGAAGAGGCGCTGCTCCACCTAATCTGGGAGTGTCCGGCTTCAAGAAGATTCTGGCAATGGTGGATGAATCACTGGCATAACCTGGGATCAGCTCTACCCTGGGACCAGCAATGGGTACTAACAGGTCAGTTGCCCCCCCTGTTCTTTCGTAAATAAGGTTGGGGATACATGGCCCAAGCGATACGCTCTGCCATCATGTGGACCATCTGGGAGAACCGGAACAATATCACCTTCAGGAATGAATGGTCGGCAGATGCAACAATGAAGAACAAGCTCAAAGCCACAATCCGAGCAATGATCACGGCAGACTGGGTCAGGAAAGCTGACAGGGGCAGATCACAGCAAGGACGGAGGTGGTTCCTCTTCACTTGGGCCAGGGGTAACAAATTGGTTGCAGTAACGTTGGAAGGAAGAATGGTTTACTCGCCATGGCTCATGCACTCGGACTAGTTAGTGTTCCAAGCAGACAGGGGTAGGTAGGAGAAGAATTTTAGGGAAATCGTATTTTTGGAGATCTGTGGTAGTACAGCCCCACCTGACCTCTCGGTGGGGGAAGTGTCAGGTTAGGCCGAAGGAGGTCAAGGGCCCACGGTTCTGGGTTTCGGAGAGGATAGGATAGAAGGCCTGAGCCGAATTAGGCTCGGGGGGGTCGAGATTTAGACCCCTGGGTATTTAAGTAGGAAGGTTTTTGAGGTAGGGGTCCTCTTTAGGGGCTAGGAAATAAGGGAAGAGAAGGGTTATAATTAGGAAAAAGTCATCAAATGTAAAAATAAAAAAAAGCAGTAGGGGAATAGAGTATAAGAGTAATGGTTAGGCTGGTGTAGCTGGTTTCTGGTGTTAAGGGCGACCGTCTTCTTTTGACTCTTTTTTCCCCCCTCTCTTGGCTTTAAAATTTCCAACTGTAGGACCAGCAGACAAAGCGAATTGGGGTAATGCTCCCTAATTTCCGGTCTTTATGTGAGGTGGCCGGCCCCAATTGCAATTGTTATCAATGAGTACCAATGTGGATTTCCTTTAAAAAACAACAACAACAACAACAACAACAACAACGATATTGGCTATTAGACAACACTGATGTATGCTGCCGGGCAAAAGGGGCAGGTGCAGCTACTTGCCATAGTGCATGGCCGTAGCATTGCTGGTGTTCGCCCTCCAGCCACGCCTGCCCGTCCCCACATGGCCGAGATGAGGGGCTGGTACAGCTTTGCTCCTGCACCATATGGTACAGCTTCGCCCTTGCACCAATACTACGCTGCAAACCTGCCCCATGGGCTGGGGAGAGGCACCAGGGGCCGGGTCCCACTGTCTTACCGTGTGGTTGTAGTTTTCAGTAATGTGTGGCATGGGCGAGTGCGAGCGTCCATCAATGGATTTTGGGATCGACGCCCTTGTCTTCGTCCGCAAGATTTGACGATGCGGGCGTTATATGTATATACGATGAGGGTGTGTCATTGGATGTTTAGGGTCCCCACGTTTTCCGCGTTGTGTAGGTAGCTACCCGTTTTGGAGCTCAGTTGGTAATGTATGGCATGGGCGAGTGCGAGCGTTCATCGATGGATTTCGGGATCGGCGACCTTGTTTTAGTCCGCAAGATTTGACGATGTGGGCGTTATATGTATATACGATGACGGTGTGCCATTGGATGTTTGGGGTCCCCGCGTTTCCCGCGTCGTGTAGGTAGCTACCCGTTTTGGAGATCGGTAGGTAAGAACACGGAAAGACGACTGGAATGGGAAGGGTGGGCCATGCTCTTCTCGTGCACTGCGGTTGACAGTCATCACTACGATTTGCAGTCTGTATGTAAGCTGTAACTGCGCGCTGAGAGGACATCATTGTCTGCAGTATTGTTTGGAGTGTACTAAATCAGGATGTCGCCGCTGTTTATTTACAGCTACCCGTCAGTGGGCCTCGCTGCACTACTCTGCATGTGCACGAAATACAATAACAACAAATAAAACTAAAAAAAATGGCAGTGTAACTTCCCATGTTCTAGCGGAGGATTTTGTCTTATGTTTTGCACTTTTGGGCCGCTCGCATTGCAGGGACGCTCTTGCTTTCGTGGACGGTCATTGCAGTGGGGTCTATGTCTTGTGGGGTCGTCATATTCTTTCGATCCTTGCAATTCATTGCCGAGGGGCCTAGCTGTTCCTGGCGACGGGCCTAACTCTGCCTTAAGATTTATTGGTGTAGGCCTTGAAGATTGGTTGTGGGAGACCCTTTTTCATGTTTATAGCACTCACGTGACATGCTTCGGTCGAGCTCGAACTGCAGTCTGCATCTTCACAATTTACGTGCGAGTTTGGTTTAGGGAATCGGTATGTCGAGTCCGCAGCCCTTGGTGTTCGAACGCGGGCCTGACTTTTCTTTCCAGCGCACACTTGCATGGGTATATTTATCAGGTAGGTCATCCACTAATCATCGTCCCGGGTTAGACACTACAACAGATTCGACTGTATGTTTACCTATGTGCAGGTCGATTGTATGTCTACCTATGTGCACTCTGTGATCAATCTGTTTCGTTATCTGCTTGCCCTCCACGTGTCGTTATCTTCTCCGTGTGCCATGTTTTTTTATCGTTTGTGCATGTGGAAAGTACTGGAGTGATGCCCTATGTGAATACGAGCGAAGGGCTCTACCTGTAGTCTGTCTTGTCTGTGTGTTGTGCATGTGTTGCATGGTTCGCGCGGTTTGTAATTCGCGTTCTCTGCTCCGGTGTAGGGCGCCTGTTCTATTTTTTTACGTGTTTACTTCCTGAGTGTTGAATATTTCATCGCACCTTCCCAGCACGCTCACGTATGTACGTGGCCCCTCCACGTCTGTCTGTTCTTCATCTGTATGGTTACTGTATGAGATGGTTGGCGATGGTGACGAATCTTGTCGGTTTTTTCGTTTTACTACCATCTTGTATGGCAATTTACTTCTGTTTCAGCCCATTAACCATGTTGCATATGTTTCTATTATATTGTCGATTGCTTAGTATGTAAGTGCGGGTTGTATAATTTTGTTTTTCCCCTTGCTGTTTTTTTTGTTTGCCCGTTTTTATTTTTTTCCTTTGGGTATCTATAGCACACTCACGAAATCAGTTTTTTTTTTTTTCCCCTCTTTCACTCCGCGACAACCACCTATACAATCGTTAGCCACAATTTAAATCTTGTCTGATATGTACTCGAACATTCAATTTTAAAAGTTCAACCGTATTCAAACTCGAAAAATGTATGAAAAACATAATCCTGACAGCAGGATACTCCCTCCTCGAAAAACGCAAGCATCATAAAATAATATACTACCATTGTCGGTGCGAATACCCTTACAAGGGTATTGGCCCTGGTTTTTGCAAGCGACAGAAAATAAGTTTGGTTTGAAGTTTAGGTATACCGTGCAAGGCGTGGTTGTGTCCGTGATTTATGTTGACTAAAGGCTGACTAGAGCAGAGAGTATGTGAGCGAGTAGATTTGAGGCGCACGTGATCTTTTTATTTCGTTGATGATTGAAGAACCGACGTGATCGTCGGCCAAATTTTTATTTTTTATTAAGCCAGGATTAAAATGATTATGCCTTGTGACTTATGCGCTTGCCTGTGACTTGTGCGTACGTGCGGAGGACAGCATCGATAACAAAGTGGCCTTGAAGTGTTTTCAGTAGGTTCGCGCATCGCGCAGTGTCGGCTTGTTTCGGTGTCTGTCAGAGCTAGATCCAGCCTTGGGCATATCATTATTGGTTACATCGTTGAACTTTCATTAGAAAAATCCAGGGATCGAGATCGAGCTGCGATGACGCATGAATATCAGAGCAGTGCGGATGAACTGAAGGGTTGCAGGACCGACGGGGTCATCCCCCTTGGGTTTGCCGGTGGCGACGGCGGAACGGTACTGACATTTTATTTTTCCTCGTTCAACAAGTTTTGACGGTTAAAAGTTTCCAACTATTTTATTTGTGGTATTATTTTTAAGATTCGACATTCCCTGACTCAAACGTGGCGCCGGATTCAGAGGCCACCACGACAGTCGAGCGCTTTGAGCAGGCACGCCCCCTATCTAACTTGAGGGCCCCTGCGTGTTTGGAATGCTGGCGAGATTGCTTGGCCTTGTCCGCCTTGAGACGGGAACCGAGGGATTCAACATGCATGCAAGCCGGTGGGTGAGTAGCCCACAAGGTGGAAGAGACCTAAGTTGGGGGAGCTCTTCTGTGGGTGCACCGTCCGCCAACCACGGTCTGCTGTGAGAGGTTTAAGCGTGAGGCAACCCCGTTGGGTTCTGAGAGCCAGTGGACTGTGCCAAGGCGGGGAGGGACGAGTGCATCAGGATAAAAGGGGGTCGTAAATCATAGAATCGGTCCCACAGGACCCTTTTTCCGTGTTGGTCTTCTAAGGTCCCAGGGGAATTCTGCTACTACCACTAAAATCGGCATTGGGACTCACCCCACCGGGCCTCAAGCAGCAGGCGTAGGGCAGACCATTGTGTCGACGTGCAGTGGGGGGGAATGCAAAGGTATCACTGCAGCCCGTATCAAGTCACATGATAGCAAGGTTCCTCATAAGATTCTGCAAGTGTTCGAGATGTCGGGCGGACCGCCATGTCGGAGCTCTGTCGGTCGAAAAACAGGTGTGAAGGGGAGACAAGCGTTGAGGCAGGAATAAGGCAGAGCGGGGCGCTGCGGGTGAGGCGGAGCGTCGGGGTTTGGGTATACGGGCGGGCTACCTAGTCGTCGGTCGT